TGCTTGCAGCCTATAAATATCCATGACGCAGAAAAATTACTATTATTTAGTCCATAGATACTCAGAATTTTGCTAAACAGCCAGTTCCTTTGATGTTTCAACCCATTTAAATAATCACTAATCACTAATAATAGTAAATGATGCCCCGTCCAGACAAAGCAGCAGTTTTGTTCGTTGCTCTGGGTCTTGAATATCACAATATAAAAGACCGTCTTAGATTCCCAGAGGAAGTGCTGGTACTTTCAAACGGTTACCTTCTGCATAGTTATAAATTTGCATTCAGACCCATGAAATGGACGTCTATGTCAGTTTTCGCAAGCCAACTATGTGACACAATAACTCAACACTAGTTAAAAGTAAAAGATACGCCTTAAACTAAACAACTTGGAACGACGTCGTTTATATTTGTGTCCCGTTCACTAAAAGTATGGCTTTTCTCAAGAAAACCGTGAAAAACATAGTTTTTTTTTAACCCCCCTGTTGAACAAGTTTCAGTGTGCTTATTAACATACCTTCCTGAAAACAATGAAAGTAAACCTCCCAAAACTCTACAAAGACGGTTCATGATTTAAAAAAAATACATATCGTAAAAATGAAAACAACTGCAATTGATATTCTTCATTGGTGAAACAAATTCTTCCTTAACGTCAAGGGCGTCTGGAGAGAGCATACCAACTTTCATTGCATTCGGTCCGTAAATTTTCCAAACTATCAAAATCTATTCATGTTTATGAATTTTCTGATGGCCGATAGCTTGCGATCTTCACTTGAGCTTATAATCAGGATAGGGCTTATGTGTCAAGCTTCCTGAAGAATCAAACTACGGCTTATTTCTGTGAAATTGTGATATGTTTATACTTCTCTGTTTACTATTTCGAGCTTCCGGAAAAATCACGCTACGGCTTTTTTCTGGGATTGACCGTATTTCTGAGAAACAGTGTATAATTCTATGGTTATTGCGAAATGGCAACCATCTCCCCCACTATCTCCTCTACAACTATTTTGAGGGTGGAGGGGGCATTTGAAGCCTAAACCAACAGGTTCCCTAGCCCTCTATCCATGCTTAGACGGTATCTAGGTAAGGATTTGTTTATACATTTCATATTATGTTAAAGAAAGTTTGCGTGTCACCATGTCTGTGAGAAAGTATTCTCCCTATCTGTGCATTTCAACGTGGCGTCTAAGTCTTCAAACTGCTTTTCTTTCGGGATATGCTACCTTAACCCGTAACCAACCAAGGTCTGACCACCGGGCAGTGGTAATTTTATTTCAGAGTATCCTTCTCATAGGTGGGCTGCTGTCCCCAGCTGACGAGCCCCGCCTACTCGAAGAAATGCTTATTACTTCAGACGTATTTTGTATTTATTCCACGTAGCATATAGCTTTAATTATTACTTGTTTTTTAACGCACGTAAAACAAGTTTTAAGCCACCACTAGAGCGCTTCCATACAAAAGTTGTGAGAAGGTTAAGTTCTTCCTTCCCAGAACAAACTCCCTCCTGTCTGTCTGTCTGTCTGTCTGTCTGTCTGTCTGTCTGTCTGTCTGTCTGTCTGTCTGTCTGTCTGTCTGTCTGTCTGTCTGTCTGTCTGTCTGTCTGTCTGTCTGTCTGTCTGTCTGTCTGTCTGTCTGTCTGCATGCCTGCCTGCCTGCCTGCCTGATTCTGTGTCTGTCTGTCTGTCTGTCTGTTTGTCTGTGTTTCTTTCTATTCATATCCCTGCATATCTGGTTGCCCATTCGTTGAAATTCCTGGTCGTAACTTGTGTTTAGTTTTAAAAAAAATAGAAAGAATAGCGATTGGCTAAAAAAGCGAAAGTACCGACACGATGGCATACGAATATGAAAACATGGATAAATTAAGATGTCGGGAAATGTATGGACACAGTTTACGACTGATAAACAAGCATAGATAATAAAATAAGGAAACTTAATTATGAGGGTTTTTAAAAGAAGCAATTCAACGTTTATTGCAGATAAATGCATTTCCCCCAAATAATTGTCATATTTGCTGGAAGCCAAAAAAATGGCCTCTCGCATTTGCCAGCTGCTCTAGAAAAACACATCAAATTGATCGGAAAACCATAGGATATCCAGCAATGTTGAATAGCACAAACTATACATTTTTTTTTTAAACGTAGACATCTTTTGCGCTCCTACACCACCGATTTGTTTGTAACCATTTGATGTAAATGATCCATTTTTATACGCCTTCAATCGTATTGGGTATGCAGTGCCAGGTCCGTATTCTATTTATGTCTCAAGGTAGCTGCAGACACAGACTACCCTTTACACGAAGCTCTGGGCGCAGTTAAGGGTAAAAGGGAACTCGTAGATGGCTCAGACAGGAGACCAATCAGACCGGTTTGCATCCTGGGGAACATTGGGCGAGGAGAGGAGTGGATCAAGATGACAGCTGAACAGTCCAGACTTGTGTATAGTCATAATCACACTCGCCGGGAGTGCAGGGAGTGGCCGGCAGGGGCCACGGAGGTGGACAATTCAGCCGTAAATTCAAGATAATGCTCGTTTCGAGGATGTGATTATTTATAAAGATTGTTCAGTGTCAAGAGGCAAAAGAAGTGCTTCGGGTTCTTAGCACAAGCCAGTGGTCGACGTTTGGTGCAGCAGAGCCCAGTGTATGATACCACAACATCCAGCCTAAGAATATTTTAGGCGAAGGCTGTCACTGCAGCTTTCTGCTGGCTGAAAAACACGACGCACACACATACATCGTGACTGAAACTGACTCAGAAAGCATGTTGAGGAAGGTGAGGACAAGCGTGCTTAGCTTCGGAGGTCTCAGGTGAGGAGTATTGTCTGGATTTTTTTCTCCGGGTTATGCCGGAGTGCTGGAAAACGAACAGGCAGACAGATTGGCTGGCACTGCACAACTTAGTGGAATGTTGATACAGGATAAGGCAGACGTGGTTAGGGCCTTGTGAGAGAACGTGTCCAAGTCGGAGGAGTAAATGGATCACCACAGCCTGGTGAGAGTGATTCAGTGAAGCTGACGAGGAGATCCGATCGATACTTGACGCTCAGAGGAAAAGCAAGACGAACGTATAATCATAATGCAGTTGGTACCATTGGTACTGGAACTCTGCGCTGGCTGCTGAAGATGGGGATGGAGCGCTTATGGGGATGCCTTGAGTGATGTGATTTAGGTTCTTGAATCAACTCAACCCGTATTTTATAGCTTAGTCAGCACTCCATGGAGGATGTGGTCAACATCAGCGCCGCTGCTTTTACTTCCCAGGACATATCTTGGTATTCATTTGTAGACCAGGGAGCCAATGTAGGTTTTGAAAAGAAAAGTCCATCTCTGCTAGGATTTGAACCCACGACCTAGGGATCCGCGGGCAATTGTCCAGCCCGCTACACCATGGCGGATCCCGATCATTTGATGTACGGGTTTAATCAATATGTGTAGGCATTAGTATGGGTGGTGGGGGGGGGGGGAGCTCTATGGCCATAAACTTTGTTCAAGTTGCTTATTACCAATAATAATAATAATAACTACAATAGTTATATTATTAATGTGCTGAATGGCAAATACTACTACATATAATAACACACGAAATGATATGATAGGTTAAACAAAAACTTAACACAGGCAACCTCTGTACTTGATGGGGGGGGGGGGGGGAGTTGGGCGATTCCCCCACCCCACAATATTTTTAGAAAGGCTTAAAGAGCCAAATCCTACATGTAGACAGTACGTAAAGTCCACATTGCCATTGCCTCATATATTAAAATTGCCGTTGAACTGCATACTCAATGTGTTTTCAGATCCTATCTGTTGTTAGCTAGAATCTTTCTCCCGGTTTGGTTTCCTGCTCCCAATTTGTGGGGTAAAAAAAAAAAGGAATAGATCAACTGCCATTTAACAAGACCGTCGCGAAGGGAATAATTAGAACTTTCCTTAAATCAGATGCTTAGGGCCGCCAGGTGTAGATATCACAGCCAAACTGTTCACCACAATTCAACGTGCCAACCGTTATTTTAAGACCGAACGCAGACGAAGAAGAAGGATAAGGAGGAGGAAAAGAAGAAAAAGAAGAAGAAGAAGAAGAAGAAGAAGAAGAAGAAGAAGAAGAAGAAGAAGAAGAAGAAGAAGAAGAAGAAGAAGAAGAAGAAGAAGAAGAAGAAGAAGAAGAATGAGATGGAAGAGGAGAAGGAGGAGAAGAAGAAGAAGAAGAAGAAGAAGAAGAAGAAGAAGAAGAAGAAGAAGAAGAAGAAGAAGAAGAAGAAGAAGAAGAAGAAGAAGAAGATAACGCATACATACCTGTCACTGTCATTTAAAAAACAAAACACCCTTTTCCATTGTCACTCTCTCTTTTCGGGAGGCAGAAGTGCTGAATCTAACATAGTGGTGTCCCAGGGTAAGAACTCTGACACAGATAAAGACCTGGGGGGAGGTCTCCGTGGTAAAAGTTGTGAAACTGTTTGCCTCGTCCTCCGATGGTCGTGGATTTGTTTCACGGCTGTGTTGTTCGATTTACGAGTACGAAATCTGAAGAGATCGTCGCCGGTGCTACGGTGTTCGAGCTTTGTGCGGCGCTCTTATAGGCTGCTAGCCGTTCTGCGGAGAGAGGCTGAGCCAGATGGGATAAAACCAGGTCGATCTTCTCGACTTCAGAGGTAATGGCTTTACTCGCCTCCATGATCATCCTAGAGACAGGTTTCCATTTAGGTTCTTGACCTATCAAATGATCGACGTGTCATTAGAAATCAGAACGAATCCGCCTTAGAGACGAGAAACCAACAGTCTGCAAACAATTAAAGCCAAAACTGTAGGGAAAGTGCACGCAATAAGTCCTGGCACAGGACCGAAGTGCGGAAGTAGACTACCCCTACTACAACTGCTGCTGCTACCACCACCACCACCACCACCTTTACTACTGCTGCTAGGCTAGAGTTGCTAGCCTGTGAACTCGAAAATAGAGGAAGCAATTACTTTGTTGACCATTCAAGCTTTCTTGTTTATATTTCTCGAATCCAG